GTGTGTGTGTGTGTGAGAGAGGGAGTGTCTGAGCAGAGCACGCATGCAGAAAAGCTGCGCTGAGCCCGGCCCGCGTATTCGGCGAAGCAGTGTTGGCACCGACTCGGCTGCCACTGCCGCACAGCGCCTGCTCAGACGCACCGGGTCGCCGCAGCTAACGCCCGACGCCGCTTCCCTCGCCATGCGCTTTACCAGCTGCTCCTCCGATAGCGCAGACAGGATCAACAGCGACGAGTGCGAAGAATCTCAGCTCTTGGGCTCATTTGAGCGACGAGCGCATGTTGGGCTCGGGTACGTCGCTGTTGTCCAAATCGATGCCCAACGCCGTCGCCACCAATCGCCTCGTCGATGCCATGACGGCGACTTCCGGGCCCCGGTTGCGGACGAGGCCGGACAAGATTCGTGCACATGTTAGAGCGTAGTGCAATCCTCGGAACGAGTCGACCAGAGGGTCTGGATTTGTAACGACGTTTTTTTCTCGCCGTGGGCCATTTCGTAAGGGCTCCGCGTCCCGAGACCCGCGCTTTGGGTCGGAACGTTTTGGTGCAGCCTCTGCCTTGGACCACTCACAACCCACCAACGATCAATCCCTCATGATCATAGCCGCAATGTGGCCATTCAGCTCGTCATCATCTCCAACATCAGCAGCAGCGGCGGACACGGCGGACAAGTGTCCTGTGGACGAAGAGACGCGCCAGGCATGGCTGCGTGCGAATCCGGGCAAAGCGCATCCCTTCCAGCCCGATTCTCCTGCTCCGAAACAGGAACATGACTCGCAGCCAGGCCCATCACGGCCACGGTACAACGACGAGTCGCGCCTGTCGACGGATCGCGAAATTTCGTCGATCCCACGCAGCTACTCGCGTCTGGCCAACCCTACCGCCGCGCAAGCCGCCCAACCTCCCAGCACGGCCGACGAGGACACGGACGGCAAGTGGGTCTACCCCTCGGCGAAGCAGTTCTACAATGCGATGAAGCGCAAGAACCAAAACCCCCAGGTCGCGGATATGGACGTGGTGGTGCCCATCCACAATGCGGTCAACGAGCAGGCGTGGCGCCACATCCTTGCGTGGGAACGCATGTGGACCGCCGAATCCGACACCAAGCTCATCTCCTTCAAGGGCAGACCGCGCGACCTCACATGGCGTGCATGGTTCAACACGCTTGCGGGCTACCAGCCGCCCTTTGACCGACACGACTGGACCATCGAACGCCCCAACGGAGAGCAGGTGCGCTACATTATCGATTTCTACACCGGCAAGTCGCAGCCCTCCCTCTCCGCAAATACGGGCCCAGGCAACATTGCGGACAGCTTTGGTGCTGGTGCACAGTCCAAGGCAGGCCTGAGCTTCTATTTGGATGTAAGACCCGCGCCGTCGACGATCCAGGGCATGGCTATGAGGTCGAGGCGCGTGTACAACCGCTACTTTGGCGAGCCCGGCTCCGCGCCCTAGACTCTCATCCCCCAGTGGCAATCCTACAGTGCTAATCTGCTAATCTACTGAGCGAATAGCTGTGTGTGATCGCACTGAGAGAGGTCGGAGAGTTGTGCGTATATAAGGGAGCGTGTTGTCTTCGAGCCTGCAGTGCCGTGTGGAGGCTGGAATGGGTTTTTTTCGGACGGTAGCCAAAGGTGATCGTTGCGGGCGCGTGACTTTAGAGGGCAAATTGGCGAGCCAGCGGGATCTTCGGATCGGGCACTTGGCGCCCCTTCCAAAGTCACAAATTCGGCCGCGGGCGCCTCGTGGCCGCATCTTTGCTCGTCGTCACCATCACTCTCTCTCTCTCTTGCCTTTGCACCCTCGGCCATCTCCTTCGCACCAGCGCCTCGCCTGCTACTCTGGCGAAGCGCACCGCCTACTCTGTATCTTTATAGACCCGACTAGATCTCCGTTCTTTCGCCTTGTACCACTACCGCCGACTGCGCTCGCTCGCTCCAAGACATCGCCTGCGCATCGTCACCGACCCAGCATCTTTATCGACACCCCAACAAAAGCAGCTTGTCTGGAATGCGCAGAACCTCGTCGTCCTAACTTGAAGCACACACACGCACAGCCGCTGCGAATCCGCCATCGCCGCTTCCCATGGCCGGGCGACCAGGCACCGCCGGCAGCATGCATAACCGCATGCTTCACAGCCCTGGTCCCATGCACAACGGCATGTTCGACGCCACCAACCCCAACGCTTCCTCGAATGGCGCGCCTCCGGGCATGGGTGGCTCGCTCGCAGGCGTAGACCTCGGGCCCTCGATGCTCTCCGCCGCCGGGCCCCCACCCAACGCCGGCCCCACCATGCCCGCAGGCACCGGACCCGGAGGCACCCCCACCACCGCGCTCAGCGTCTACCACCTCATCACGCAGCTGTGTCAGCGACCCGAACCCAACGCCGCCGTGCGCAAGCAGGGTTCCGCATCGCCGCCCGCCAGCATGGCAGCCACCGACGCAGCTAAAAGTGCCAATGCAGCCGAGCACGACGGATCGACGTCGCCCACCGACGTCGACAGCCTCGCCGGCTCGTCGGCGCAGCGCGAACATGCGCTGCTCGAGCTGAGCAAGAAGCGCGAGCAGTACGAGGACCTGGCGCTGGTGCTGTGGCACAGCTTTGGCGTCATGTCGTCGCTGCTGCAGGAGATCGTGTCGGTGTATCCGCTGCTCTCGCCGCCCGCACTCACGGCGCAGGCGAGCAATCGCGTGTGCAACGCCTTGGCGCTGCTCCAGTGCGTGGCCAGCCACAGCGAGACGCGCGCGCTCTTCCTGCAGGCGCACATCCCGCTCTTCCTCTACCCCTTCCTCAACACCACCTCCAAGACGCGCCCGTTCGAGTATCTGCGTCTCACCTCGCTCGGCGTCATCGGCGCGCTGGTCAAGCAGAACGACAACTCGGACGTCATCACCTTCCTGCTGTCTACCGAGATCATCCCGCTGTGCCTGCGCATCATGGAGACGGGCTCGGAGCTGTCCAAGACGGTGGCGATCTTTATCGTGCAGAAGATCCTGCTGGACGATATGGGGCTGGCGTACATCTGCCAGACGTACGAGCGGTTCTATGCGGTGGGCACCGTGCTGAGCAACATGGTGTCGCAGATCGTCGAGAGCCAGGCGGTGCGCTTGCTCAAGCATGTGGTCAGGTGCTATCTGCGGCTGAGCGACAACCCGCGCGCGCGCGAGGCGCTGCGCGCTTGTTTGCCTGGCCCGCTTAGGGATGCGACGTTCAGCCAGCTGCTCAAGAACGACCACATCACCAAGCGGTGTCTTGCCACGCTGCTGCTCAACCTCTCGGACCGCGTCGAGCAGTGAACGCCCAAAATCGTCAAAGTGCACAGTTAATGTCGATGCCATTTGTACCGTGTGCGAGGTCAGTAGATCTGTTCGAGTAAGCCAAAGGTGTGCGGAAAGAGTCAAGGTCAGAAGGGTGAGTGCAGAGTGGATTTGGGGGCAAGGTTTGGTGGATCCTACCTCGTCGAAAGGTCTTGTGTCGCGGAAGCAGGAGTCAAACACCTCATCTACGGTCCTTTCCGCCTTTTCCTTATCGCCGTTGCAGGCAGGGTTGGCAAGGATGCTGATGACTGCTCTGCGCTTGACGCATTTTTGGTGTTGCAACTTGAAGCCATAATTCCTTCTCTGCCACTCCCTGGCCCAGTTGCAATCACCGCTTAGACTGGCCGCTCTGATTTCGGAGCAAGCATGGTGTCTCAGGTTGGACCAGTCGACGAGGAAGCGGCAGTGGTCGAACCAGTGCACCATCTCATGTGCCAGTGTGTCTTCCAGATGCGACTTGGACATGATCTGGTTCGAACACAGCAGGATCGACGATCCGCTTGTCGGCTCTCTCGGGCCAGAGGGTGAAAAACCCCCCGCGATCGTCGGTGGACATGGCGCAATAACCACCTTCGCCTCGGTCGCAGTGGAGCTCGATGAAGCTGTGGGTGTGCGCGGGGAGAGCGGATCGCAGTCGAGCAGTGAGAGGTGCTTGGCCATGAAGCGGACCATGGGCGAGGTACGGAAGAGCTCGTGCGTCCATTGCTCGCATCGCTCGCGCTCCACCGTTTCTTGTGGTGTCTCCAGCTCGCGTGGCACGTACGACGTCATCCTCTCGCCAGTGCTGCAGGGTGGATCGTTGGCGATGGGCCAGAGATGGTGTTGGTGGAGGTCGATTGCGAGCGAGAGGGTCTTTGCGAAAAAGATGGCCGACGCGAAAAAGACCGCTGTTAGATCGACTCGCAGGCGCAAAACATGTTAGATCGCTCCAGACGGCCTCGGCATCGGATGTTGCGGGCGATACCAAAGTGGCTCGTGAGCGCCTCTACCTGCCTCTGCTCCACCACCACCTCCATCTGAGCCAGACACCGACCAGACATCGCGGCGAGGATGGGCTACCTGCCTTCGTTCGGCTCGATCGCGCGCGTCGTGGGCGGCGTGCTGGTCGTCAGCCTCATCTCCACCGCCGGCCTGCTGTACCGCTACCAGACCTCGCTCATCTATCCGTCCTCCTTCCCCTCGGGCTCCAAGGCCGAAGTGTCCACGCCGGACGAATACGACTTGCCCTACACCGAGGAAGAACTCATCACGCCCGACTCGCAGACGCTGCGCGTCTTCGTCATGCTGCAAGGCACCGCCCTCGCCACGTCGAACGAAAAGTCTCTGCAACGAAAATCCAGCCCGACCCAGACGGGCAAAGCGCCGCTCGAGGTGACAGACGCTGCGTTGGCGGGAAAGCGTCCTACAGTGCTGTTCCTGCACGCCAATGCCGGCAATATGGGTCACAGGCTGCCGCTCGCAGCCGTGTTCTTCAAGCGGTTCGGATGCAACGTGGTGATGCTCAGCTACCGCGGCTACGGCTTTTCCACCGGCTCGCCCAACGAACGCGGCATCAAGATCGACACCCAAACCACGCTCGACTACATCCGCTCGCACCCCGCCCTCTCTTCGACGCTGCTCGTAGCGTACGGGCAGAGCATCGGCGGTGCGGTCGCCATCGACCTTGCCGCCCGCAACCCGGCATCCGTGCACGCGCTGATCCTGGAGAACACGTTCCTGAGCATCCCCGAACTCATCCCACACGTCCTACCCCCCGTGCGACCGTTTGCATTCCTCTGCAGAGAGTACTGGAATTCGGCCGAGGCGATCTGCAAAGTGGCAGCCAAGGTTCCGGTGCTGTTTCTGTCGGGGAGGCAGGACGAGTTGGTCCCCCCCGCGCACATGGATGCACTGCACGCCGCGTGCAACAGCACCACCAAGCGGTTTCAGCGATTCGCGCAAGGCACGCACAACGACACCTGCATCCAGCAGGGCTACTTTGAGACCATTGGCGAGTTCCTCCTCGCGCACGTCGTCACGCTGGTCAACGAGCGCACCGCCGCACCGAAGCAATCCGGCTCGAGCGAGGAAAAGCTGGTGCCAAGGGAGGCGAGTGGGGATGAGGACGAGTGGGTGCAAATGAGCCATTCGGAACTGCGCGGCACTACCGATCCAGACGCTCCTACGCTCAGTAAAGCACCCAAGCTCTAGACTCGGCGCGCGATGCCCAAATCTTAGCTTACGAGGTCCAAAAGGAATGTGTGATTGCAAAAAAAAGCAGTTGTGTCCATGACGAAAAGGAAAGGGGGCAGAGATGCAGTGAAAGGACGGGGACGTTGAGGATGCAAAGTGCGGGGCGAATTGGTGCCTGGGCGTGCGATCCAGACCGACCTTTGTTCGAGGTGGAGGATCGTGCCTGAGGCCCGAAATCCGATGCGCACTGTGTAGCCATGAGGGAAGGGGTTTTACTTGCACGAGGCGAGGATGCAGACATTGGCCTTGCTGCCACTTGCATCGATGCCCGTGTTCTTGTTTCCGCCCTCACCACCTGCGCCACCCTCGTTGGTGGTGGTGGTGGTGGTCGAGTGCTGCGACTGGTCGGTGTTGTTGCTATCCGTCTGGGACTTGTCGACGTTGTTGCTGTTGGTCTGCGAGTTGTCGACATTGTTGCTGTCGGTCTGCGAATTGTCCTGGTAGTTCTTGGACTTGTCCACGTTGGTGGTCGAGTTGTCGTTGTACGTGTGGCTCGAGTTGTCGTTGTTGTTGGTCTGGTGCACGTTGTTCTGCGTGTTGCTCTGATCGCCCGCAACGTTGGTCTGGTCGACATTGTTCTGCGTGTTGTTCTGATCGCCCGCAATGTTCGTCTGCTCAATGTTGTTGTTCGTCGTGGTCTGGTTGGTGTTGTACGTGTCGTGCGAGTCGTGCGTAGACTGGTCAATGTTGGTCGTGTTGTTGTTCGTCACCGACTCGGACTTGGAGTTGTCGTACGAGTTGTTGTACACGTACGTCGGGTTGTAGCCCGAGCCGGACGAGGAGCCGGACGAGG